ATGGCAATGTGATTAACTTTGTGTTAGGCGAAGCTTACTTTGTCATACCTAGAGTCTAGACTTGGATTTTGGTATATCACGACCCGCTACGTACTTCATCTACCATCGTTGCGGATCTCTCTTTTAGTTGAAGGCTCACCTTCATCGGAGGATACCCGTTCTAGCACCTCTCCATCTCTTGTCCTAAGCTTGGCAGAGGGTATATCGATCTTGTAAGTCTTGACAGCCAGTAACGAACCACGAGCACATTTACTTCTGTGAATAGGACCAGTTTCTCTCTCTCTCTCTCTCTCTCTCTCTGAATGGTTGCCATGGCATACGCTCTCTCTCTCTCTCTCTCTCTTCCCCTTTTTTCTCGCGGTCTCTCTCTCTCTCTCTCTCTTCGTTATCGCTGTTTGCTGCCCACATCCAACGACACGCGTCTCCACCATACGTCAGCTCATCCGGCCGGCCAAGACGTGACAAATGGTGGTCTGCCGCCGACGAGGTCATTCGAAATCGGGCCGTCTCGATCTTGGGGAAAGTCTGTGGCGTCTGGGAGAAGGGCTTGGGGCCGTTGGAAAGGGCCTGAAAAGCCTGATGGAAAGGGCCACGGATGGCATCATGCCAAGGATAGAAAGTGTCAAGTTGGGGAACCTGGACCATGGACAATTTTGGGCAGACGAGCAGGTCGGAGCAACCCTACCTCCCCCGGACTTTTCATCTTTCTTGGCTGCGGGCAGTCATGACAGGACCCCTGCTCCCCAAAGAGAGGTCTACTAAGGTCCCGCACCGGCAGCTCGGCTAGCGTGGGGTGCTGCTGGGTGAGATCTGGGGTAGACCGCGTTGGAGTGCCGACTGCATCTGCATTCGCGGCCATTGTGTCAGGAACAGGAAGGAGTCCGGTTATGCTAAGGACAGGGGTGTTTCCGTTGGAGATGGAGTTGAGGCATTGTCATCTCCTAGTATGCTGAACTACCTAGATCCGAAGCATGCGCGAGTCCCTCAAAAGGCATTGCAAAAGTTGGGAAATATGGGAATACCTTCTTTGAGCAAAGGGGTATAAGCCATATCGGATTAGGGTTAACAGTTACACCGTTTGGGAATAGTATCAGTCCATGACATACAACTTGGTCCCCAATAACTCTGCCCAGTCACCTCAAGGGCGGCACAACCTCCAATATCTCGGCATTACCGTTGTCGCACCGGGGTACTGATGAACAGCAGCTGTCTAGCAGTTTCAGATCGCAAAGAAAGGAAAGAAAGATCTGGAAGCACCATCATACCACCCACGTGCCCATCAAAGAAACACTAGAAGAAGCTCAAGAACTTGAAAAGAACCAGACTATTTGCGTGACGTGCAGTAGCAGCTGGACATTCGACATGGGGATTCCGCCGAAAAAGGCCGACCAAAGTTCGCACTAGTGTCAAGAGCTTAACTTCTCGGCATTGAACTTGGACATTGGAGAGATGCTTGTTGGACTCCATTCCAGGACGGAACCAAGGTGACCGTTGAGTACAACCTACGGTATAGGGCGACCTCGGGATTCAGCAGGTGAAAGAAATGGATGTTTTCAGGTCGGTCCTTCTTGATGATAGAACATCCCACTTCACAAAACATCCGTCAGAGCCCACGTCAGCACGAACAGACGATGGATCCTCCACGCAGGTACCAACAAGCTCAGCACCAGACGGAATTCGAACATCTCATGTTGATGAATGTAGGTAAGAACAGCATGTGAAAGCATGTCAGATTTGGACCGACTCATGGCCCAAACGAACCCAAAGTGACATGGAATTATTTTGACATGTACGGTCCTTTGCTGCTGATCTTCATGGGCAGGCGGCTTTAAACGTCATTTGACGAAATGCAGCAAAAATCAATCACATAACGAAACACATGTTGTTTTTACGGCAAAAATGTGGCAATTGTCATGGTTTCCCCCAGCCTCATAGGACGACGTCCTCGGCGAACGGATTGGAATATGACTTCCCCTACATCATCTGGCCCTCCCCAAGCTCAAGCCTTGCGGCGAACGAGGTTCACGCCAGAGTTCGGTTCTTCTGGTGACTTGTCGGCTGGAAATTGACATCATGGAAGAACTCCTGTTAAAAAGTCCTGGATGGCTCCTTGGTTGCCGAACTGCCTCAGCACATCAACCCTAGCTACCCTACAAGTGCAAGCACGAGCTGGGCGACAGAGGAGCACTGGGCACAGGTCCGTGAGGAGAAAAAAAAGAGAAAAGAGGAAGAGTTTGGCTGCGACGTCTCGCTTGATATACGAAAATTTTGGATGTGGGGTCTGTGCTTTGGGTGCCAAGCCAGCCCTGCAAGCCTTGGTGGATACGCGCCGCCTTTATCTTATCGTAAGAATCCGGCCAGTTACCTTACGGCCAGGTCCAGGCCTGTGTTTGCCTGCCAGTGTCAGCCTCAACTGACGTCCAGCGGTTCCACTGGCAACTTTCCGCTGTTCTTGCCTCTCAGTGCATCATCCATTCACAACGCGAGTGGAACTCCAACTTCCTTTCGGCACACACGTCCGCATCTAGCGGTTTGCGACATCTCATTACAACCCCATAGTATCCTCATCAGAAACCATTCCGACGATGGACGCCGCGTCAATCGAAGAGCTCAACAAGGTGCGACGGGCAATGGGCATGAAGCCCCTGCCCGTCCCCGGCGAAGCACCCAAGGCTAGATCACCTACTCCCGACGGCGAAGACAAGGGCAGCACCCTCGAGACCCGCGAAGCCGCATCGTACGACAACTACAAGAAGGCCCTGGAAGCAGATGCCGCGAAGAAGAAGCGCGAGGAGAGAGCCGCCGCCATCAAGAAGGCCCGCGAGATGGCCCAGCGCAACGCCGTTCTCGATGGCAAGGGCATCGCCGACGACGTGGAAGACGACGAGCTCGATGCCAAGGCCTGGCTCAAGAATCAGAAGAAGCGACAAAAGAAGATTGACGCCGCCAAGAAGGCCGAGGAGGAGAAGGCCGCCGCAGAAGCTGCTGCCGCGGCGGCGGAGCACACGGCTAGGGATCTGGCTGGTGTCAAGGTTGCGCACGATATGGATACCTTTCTCGAGAGTGGCGATCAGGTCCTCACGCTCAGAGACACTGGCGTGTTGGATGCTGAAGAGGAAGGAGACGAGCTCGAAAACATTGAGCTCCGGGAACGGGAAAAGCTGAACGAGAGACTCGACCTCAAGAAGAAGAAGCCGCTTTATGATCCCAACGACATTGACGAGACGGGCGAACGAACGATCCTGTCACAATACGATGAGGAGATTAGTGGCAAGAAGAAGAAGGCTTTTACACTCGGTCAGACAATCAGGACAACGAGAACGACAGACTCTTTGGCCGATATCCTAGACAGTGCGCCTGTTCAGAGGAAGGGGCAGACTATTGATTTGGATATGCTCGGTATGTTATGTTTACCCTCCAATTACTTTTACCACATGCTAATGGATGTTCGAACAGACGATGCTCCCGCGCCAGTATCCGATTACATGGATGCGTCCGAAATCAAAGTCAAGAAGCCGAAAAAGAAGAAGACCAAGTCGACGAGGCGACGAGATGACGACGATGTGCTATACCCAGGAGAGACCGAAACCCCAGAGACAGATCAACAGATGGACATTGACTCTGGTGCGACCTACACGAAAAAGAGGAAAACGTTTGACGAGGACTTTGTCGACGATGACGACCTGCAACAATCTTTGGCCCGCCAGAGATCGGCAGCATTGAAGAAGCGAAAGACACGACCCGAAGAGCTTGCTAAACAACTGCGCGAACAATCGAACCAACCAGAGCCGGACGTTGCTGAGGGTGGCGGTATTGTCATCGACGAAATCAGCGAGTTCGTCGATGCTCTCCACGCCGAGCGTGGAGAAGAGAAGAAGGCCCCAAAGCCAAAACCGCAACAAAAGTCAGAGACAGCGGTTACGGCAATGGATGAGGAATCATCAGACGAGGAGATGGAAGACGCCGACAAGGAAAGACAGTCCGAGCGGGTCACATCGCCGTCCGCCGAGCTTCCCACAACCGGTGTCGAAGAGGAGAAGCTCGTGGCCCAAGGCATGGCCGCAACCTTCGCCTTGCTCAAGGACCGCTGCCTCATCGACGCCGAGTCCCGCGGCTCCGAGCTGGTCAAGAACTTCCGCGAAAGCGCTCACTTCAAGGCCGAGCTCGCCCGTCTCATGAAGAAGTTTGATGACGAGACCCGCATCCAGCGCGAGCGCGACCGTGCCAGTGGCCGTCTTGACCGGATGTCGATCCGCGAGCGTGAGGAGTGGCAGCGCCAACAGAACACGATCCGTGAACAGCATCAGGCACGCGTCATGGAGCAGTTGTTCAGGGAAACGTACAAGCCCACGGTCGAGCTCAAGTATGTGGACGCTGATGGTCGGTCGCTCGATCAGAAGGAGGCCTTCAAGGAACTTTCGCACCAGTTCCACGGAAAGGGAAGTGGAAAGGGCAAGACGGATAAGCGGCTCAAGAAGCTTGAGGCGGAGAGGAGACGAATGGAGCAGAGTATGCTTGACGCCAGCCAGAACGTCGGTATGAGCACGGCGGCGTCGCACCAGGGTAAGAAGCGAAAGGAGGCTGGTGTTCGGTTGGCGTAAGGGATGGCACAGGTGCGACTGGGATTTGGAGCGTCGACAAAGTTATTGTCTGGATTATAACTAAACGAAACAAGGTGCATACAACCCTTTTTATTCTATCATCCAACCTTTACGAGTTTATTGGACCCGCTGACACGGAATGAACGAGCCCTCTAGCGTCGAGCATAGGTAAGACGTAGATCATTCCGTCGAGTCGTGGTGTCCTAGTGAATTGCTGTGACATGTTACACCTGTGATCATTGTATCGTACCTGTATCATGGGCTCCTAGATCAACAAACCAAACGCTTCGCCTGTTCCCGCCCATGGCAAATAAAACACACAGCCTAACCCAGCTAAATCTTACAACGGAATCCAATCCGGTCTTAGAATATCACCATCATTATCATATAACGACCCGTTCAAGCGGAAGCCTGCCCCTCCAACTCCTCCAACCCCTCCGTAGCCCTCGGCCCCCCCTTCCTCCTCCTATTCTCCTCCGCCCCACTAGCCTTCCACGCGCTCAGCATCAGTCCAACAATATGCTCAACACCGACCCCCTTCTTCACCTGCGCGAAAACCGTCGGCCCGCCCTCCCTCATCTTCCTCGCGTCCCGCTCCATAACCCCCAAGTCCGCCCCCACCGCCTCCGCCAAATCCGTCTTGTTGACCACCAACAAATCACTCTGCGTGATCCCCGGCCCGCCCTTTCTGGGAACCTTGTCTCCCCCCGAAACATCAATAACATAAATAATAAAATCCGCCAGCTCCCGACTGTAGTTAGCAGCGAGGTTATCTCCTCCGGATTCGATGAGCAGCAGATCGGTGTCGAACTGCGCGTGCAGGTCTTCGAGCGCAGCCAGGTTGGCGGAGATGTCCTCGCGCACGGCGGCGTGGGGACACCCGCCTGTTTCGATGGCACGGATGCGAGAGGGGGGCAGGGCCTGGTGGCGCGTGAGGAACTCGGCGTCTTCGCGCGTGAAGATGTCGTTTGTTACGGCCGCTAGCGAATAAGATTTGCGGAGGGCGAGGCAGAGGGCGAGCATGAGGGCTGTTTTGCCGGAGCCTACGGGTCTGTTTTTGTTTGTGTGTTAGCATGTAGGACGGGAATAGAAGGGAAAGGAGGGACGGGAGGGGTTGAATAGGGGAAGAGGAAGGCAGAAAGACCAAAAAAACAAAAAACAAAACAAAAGAAACATACCCGCCAATACCAATAGTAAAAGCCCTCTCATCCCAGTTCCTTCCTTCAACAATGGGCATCTCGCGGCCTAGATAGCTACCGGGCCCATCGAGGATTTCATGGCTGTGGCCGTGCTCTTGGGCGTTGAAGCCGCTTTGGGAGTTGAAGTCGTGGGAGTGGCCGTGGCCGTGGCCGTCACCGTGATCGTGGGAATGTGTGTGGGACATGTTTGCTGTTTCTTGACTCTTGACTTTGGGTATTACAAAAGGAGTTAGAAAGTGAAGAGTTAAGATGAAAAGAGAAGCCAAAGAAACTTCAGTAAAAGAGGAAAGAAGAAAGGAAAGGAAAGAGACAAAAAGAGTCACAACACCAAGACCCGATCTGATGCATGTGCCGAGATGGATGGATGTTCTCGACGGCGGCAATAATATCAAGATAAGGTAAAGGTGGGGGAGCTCCATTGATTGACCTGGCGATAACGTCGAGTGACATCGATGAGGGGTAGCTTAGTCACTGTAAATGGTACTTGACGGCGGTACCGGCCGAGTGCCGACTGCGGGTACTGTTTGTTTACTTTCCCCTTTTCTTCTCGGCAGCCAACATCACGAACAATTAACCTACACAAGATCATAAACAACGCCTTTAGAGGTGAAGAGGTATCAATATTCAACAATGATAAACGTACAAGCTTCTCCGTGTACTTTTCCCCAACCACCAAATCCCTTAACAGAAAGATCTCATTGTAACGGGAGAATAACAGGAGAAGAATGAAAGAAGGCAAGAAAAAAAAGAAGAATAATCATAACTCATCGCCAGTTAAGACATCATCGCCTGCTATCGTGCCATCATACCATGCCAATGATCACACACCTCCACAAACTCGAACTCAACCCCTCTCAAACTCAAAGACTCTCCCCTTCCTTCCAAACCCTATACCCGCCCATACTCTTCCCATCACCAAATCGTTTCGGTAAAGAAGAAGTATGGTCTGCAACACCGCCGCCGACCTGTCAACGATACAAAGAGAAGATAAAATTCCATGTCAGCCGTTAAACCTCCGTCTCAACATCCGGCGTCCGTCCACTCAGGCTCCCAACCTTTTTGATCCTGCGCGCAGCAAATAGGGCCTCGTCTTTGGCAAATTGGACGTTGCGCATTGGTTTCCTTTTAGGTATGTCAGTATATGTGGCTTTTTGTGTGTGTCTGAAGACATCGGCCAGAGGGAAGGGAAGCTAAAACTCACCACTGCATCAACCCCCGATGCTGCCTGTGCAAATCCCGACTGCGGCTCCTATACTCCTTGAACTGCTTGATAGGATTCTTGCTGCTCGAGCCCGTGGCGCTCTGCACCGACCGTCCGGCCGAGGTACTATGCTGCCCAGTAGCCTGGCTATCCACCGACTGTCTGCCCACCATGGACGCGGCCGACCCGTTGGCGTTGGCGTTGCCGTTGGGATGCTTACCATCACCCGCGGCGGCCGAGCCGTTACCAGCCTCCAGTCCCGAATTCATCCCGCCGTTGGCATCCTCTCCTCCCGCATTATCGTTCATCGGCTTCTCATTGTCTCCATCGGCAATACCCAAATCGGGATCCGAGTCGTCATCGTCGACTGCTGACCCTCCGTTGCCGATGATGTTGGCGTTGTCATTTTGGGCCTGGTTGTGGCTTCCACTTTCGCGAAACTCGTCATCACTACTCTCCTCATACTCCGTGCTCCTCCCTTCCGAACTCCCGCCACTGGCCGCCCTCCTTCTTCGTCTCTGCTCAGCGAGTATTTCCTCCGGATCCTGCCCAAATGCGCCAGACCAATCGGTCCCGTCCTTGGCCAACCATTTCCTCTTATCCTCCTCCCTCGCCTTCTTCAGCACGTCCCGTCCCTCCGTCAAGCTCTCCTCATGCAGCATTTGCACAATGGGGGGTACCTCACTATTGACATGCTCAGCCCTGACACCCTCAGCGAAACACGCCTCCCAGCTCTCAATCGTTTCTCGGGAATCGTTATCGCTAACAAACTTGAGATGATCCCGATCCGTTCCCGGCTTGAACCGGCCCCGGAACCGAAGCCGACCGAGCTCCTCGATCTGCAAGTCGGGAACAGACCGGTAGTTGTCTTCGGTAATGTAGTTCTGAGACAGCCGCATGCCGTTGTTGCAGCGCCAGATGGGAATGTCAAAGTCCTTCTCTTCGTTGTCCACCAGGTCCTGCAGCCAGAAGGCGGCGAAGGTGTCCGTGTGGCGCTTGCCGGAGCGGTGGAACTCGAAGAAGACGGGTGAGCGGTAGCGGTAGCGTACCGGTAAGCGGATCTTGTGGGAGTGCTTGTTGCGGGCGACGTCACCCGAGATGTCCCATGTGATGCCGGACTGTTCGTCGGAAGCAAAGGAGCAAACGTCGCTGGGGATCTTGGCAGACGAGCCGCCGGTGCGCAGCTTGATCTTCATCTTGTCAGTGGGCGCAAAGCCCGAGGCGGTGATGCTGTCCGAGGTAAATTCGAAGGTGCCAATCTCGCCGAAGCCGAGCTGGGGAGGAGGGAGCTTGAGCTCGACGGAGCGGAAGAGGAGTGAGACGCGGATGCGGCCAAAGCCAATGCCGCCGTCGAGTGGGTACCAGCGAGTGCTCTGGCTGGCGGTCTGGAACACGTCCGAGAGCTTGAGCGGGACGACGCCGATGATTGGGTCGTGCTGGCGATTGCGCGAGTCGCGCACGGTGACGGTCACGATGGACGAGCGCCAGTCGCGGACGAAGCGCTCGGTACCGGCCTCGAAGATGGGCTTGGAGGAAACGACCTTGGTACGGGTCTTGTAGACGAGCTCGTCGTTGACGAGGATGGTGCAGTACGAGCTGGGCAGCTTACCGCCTGCCTCTTCCTTCAACTCGCCGGCATCGGGCCTGGCGGGCTCGTACTCTTTGCCCTTCCTCTTACCGTCGGATCCCTTGACGTTGTCGAGCTCGAGGTTGACGATCTGGTGGACAATCACGCTCAGAACACCGCTAGGCCACAACGGGTCGGGAGGAGTGTGCACAACGGCGTCTTCTTCCGTGTTCTCGAGGGTGCCCTTGTCATCCTGGAGCTCAGGCTTATCGCGGAGTTCCTTGGGCAGCTTGTGGTCCTTGCCATCGGTCCTGAGAGCCTTCCTGAACTGGGTCTTGCCAAAGAAGCCAACCTCCCAGTGCAGCTCGCCAGGCATGGAGCTGCCGGCTTTGACGCCGCGGAGCTTGGAAGTCTGAGGGAACATCTTGCCGGGGTGCTGGATGAGCTTCTGAATGCTGAGCTCAACCTTGCCGACGACATCATCGGCGGAGCTCCGGTCGCTGTCCCAGAGCTCGAGCGAGAGCTGCTCGTCAGCCTTGATGATATCGGGGGTGACGAGCAAGGCACAAGTCTCGGAGAAGACGGGGTTGAGGTCGTCCTGGATGACACGAGTACAGTATTGCGGCTTGCCAAACTTGGAGAAGGAGACGCAGATGTAAGGGTCGGAGCCGCCACCCTCGCTTCCGCGGCGGTCTTGCTTGCTCAGGCCAGTGGCCTTGTGAATGCGAATGAAGAGGACACCAAGGGCCTGGGTCTCCTTTTTGACAGTGTCTCCCTGGAGCATCTTACCGATGTCCAAAGTCATAGACTTGGGCGCCACGTACATGCCAGCGGCGGTTGCGATGGCCCAGTTGACAAAGTTGGAGATGACAGGTAGGTTGAGGATATTGGCTCCCTTTTGCATGAGCGGAACGCAGCTAGCTTCGACCTTGGGCAGGCCCATAAGGGTGAAGCTGAGCGTCTTGATGAAGGGCGGGTCGGGAGCCATGGCAATTCTGAGTCTGCAAGTTGCGACGAGGCCGTTGAGCTCAACCCAGACGGGGAAGGGGACTCCAAAGAAGCCCTTGAGACCGAGGTAGAAGATCAACTGCATGCCCATGTTTTTGGCCTTGGAAGAAACATCTCCGTTCGAAGGCAGAGAATGGTAAGCAACAGTAGCCTCGAGGTTGTAAAAGTCACCACCCTCTTCCTCAGCCGCCAGCTCCTGGGGGTCCTTGCTCTTCTCGTCCTCCTTGCGGATCTCGGCCTTCATGTCCTGGACGTGACTATCAGGGAGGGCTCTCAAGCTGAGAATCCGGAGCGGGTTGCTGCCCTGGTTGATGTCGTTGACCTTGACGTTCTCGATGACTCCAGGAACACTGGCCTGCATGATATCCTCGAGGGTGTCGGCAACAGGGGCGAACATTTCCGGGTTGATGAGGCCCCAGATCAGGCCAACGGCCGTGTTTAGCCACTCGACGCTTTCCGGAATCAGGTTGACGACGGCCGTCTCGCCACGCTTCTGCTCGCTCGACCATTCCATGTCCCGTCCCTGACGGATCAGGTCCTTGGCCCACAAGAAGACACCACTGGCGACGCACGCGCCTAGAGGGAACAAGCCCCAGAGACTGCCGCCGAGCACCTTTCCGATGAAGACGATGGCGATGAAGACGAATGCGCAGAGGACGTTGGCGCGTGCCTCGATGGACTCGAACATGGGCTCGAAGGTGATGGAAGGGGTGGGGTGGAAGAGCACGTTGGTCTTTTCGCCGTGGATGGGCACGTCGCTGGTAGAGCCAGTGGCGATGGGATCGGGAGGCGCAGTGACATCTTGGGCTTCGCGGTATTCCTCGCCGGACTGAGAGGCTCTCGTTTGGACGGTGGTTTCTTTTCCGAGGTTTGCGTTGGGGACGGTCAACTGGAAGGGGAAAATGTCGGTTAGTTCTGTCAATAAGTCGCGTAAGTGAGAATGTGCAGCAGACATACCAATGGGTCCTTGGCTGCCTTCATGTGGTTGCTGTCGATATCCTCGATCTCGACATCCTTCCCGGTTACTGGGTCCTTGACGGTGCGGCGGTTCTTTCCGGGCTTTTGGGTTGGAACATGAGCCTGAGCCTCTCCATTGTGGGCATTCTGTTGCATTCGAGCCTCGAGTTCGGCATCGCGTTTCTTCTTGTCTCTATCAAGACCTTCGACAAACTGCTTGATGTTGGGGATACGGTTGCTGCCCGAGTAGGGTTCGCCCCCCGGGTAGTGCCGCGATTCCGGGCCGTCCATGTTTTGTCCTTGTTGTTGACTTCTAACAAGCTCGCAATTTATCGATTTCCCTTGGAATGGTGGTATTACGTATTAGTGTTGCTGTTGTTTGTAATATTAAGTCGAGGGAGGTAGCTGATATACCCCTTCCTGATCTTGTTGTTGTTTGATATGCCGCAGTCCACCGTTCGTAGAGGATTAAGAAATAAAGACTTGGTGATATAGAGTGGGAATGGTAAATAGTGATGCTGGAAAACGAGGGGACGTCAAACACATATCAAGATCATGGAAGATGGACGGATGATGGGAAAGTGGATGTCACAAAAGACCCTGAATCCCAGTTTATAGCTCCCCGTCTGTCATCGGTAGCTCCCCGCAAGTGGTAAGAGTGTTACGTAGTGGGCGCATCAGGTTTCCAGGGTAGCTGCAGTAGTATTTTTGTAGGGAAGAAAAACAAGGTAGCAGAAATCAGAGATATGCAGCCGAGACAGATGAGACGAACGAAACGGAAGGGCAGGATGGACAAAGGAGGTGGGTGGATGGCCCGGGGTATGTAGAAGCTTGACTAGGTGACGAGGGGGGACCGGGGCCGGGGCAGGACAGGTAGGGTGACGAACGGGAGCTTCAATCTAACGGAATCCGCTTGGGCAGATCCAGTAGGTATTATGGTAAGCCGTAAGTTGTGGAACAAGTATAAAGAGGGTTGTACAGTATCAACTTGGGAGTGATGGCTCTCCCAGAAGACTGTGCTCTGCCTCAGCCAAGCCCCGATGTCCCATGGAAGAAAGCTATGAAAGAGTCGATCCGATCCTAGGTTGACAAAGGAAATCCAGATCTGGGTCCAGATCGCTGGACTGTCATCATAGGTATCGTCTCTCAGTCGAGATTCCTCACCCTTCCAGAGACAGAGAGAGTTTGGTATGCGAACCCAATTACCACCCAACTGATGCCAGGGCACTATGTAGTGTATCTCGACAGTCAAGATGGAAAACCCTTCAATTGGCGATAATCGTAGTTGGCTGTTTGCGACCCAGATGTTCTCGGACGCAAGAGGTTCCATGTTGTTTGATGTTCTGATGTTGTGTGTCTTACTCTACCATAGGAACATGTAAAGCTATGACGTCATGGTCGCAGCTCTGTCCCATTGTTCCATGTGCGACGTCAACTGCCAAGTGGAAGCTATGGACGCTACCATACAGTGGGCTGTCTTGGCTGCCCGTTAGGTATCTCCACTGAAAAAGAACGAATGCGAGCAACACCACAACCGCCTCACTCACTGCACTGGAACTTCCCGTCCATCGCTTCCCTGAACGGTTCACTTCCCTGAACGGTTCACTCCGTCTCTTCACGTGTTTGACCCCGCCGTCAACTTCCGTCCGTCTTATCTCTTCCGTTCATTTCAGTTCAGTTCTCGGCCATCAGTTTGTTAGGTTGGTCTGGAACATTGCGTAATGACGTTAGCAAACCCTGTTGTTGACTGCCGGAAAGTTATTTGCGGGTACACTCAAGATGTTGTGCTTCGGAGCAGACAGACGGGAGAAAGGGAAACGTCCAGCAACGCTTCCTCTCCCTCCCTCGCGCACAACGGCTTGTTAGTTGGTACGTTGAAAACTGTGATTGGTCCTGTCATACATGGTACCTAGAGGTAGGCATACGTCTTTGTTCACTAGAGTAAGAAGTGTGCGTGCCTCCACTGAATCTGAACGGTTACGTAGGCTTGGCAGGTCGGTAAACTTTGTCCACTTCACACGTGTAAAAGGAAGCTATCTGCATGTCAACGTCTACGCAGTAGGTAATGTTACGTGGAGATGGGTTAGTCGGTTGGAAAGACCAATGGCGCTACTAGTACATAGCATGTCGGCAAAATCTCCGCCATCTGCAAGAGGGTATTATGATAAGAACGTCGACAGTAAAGAGGGCATCACAGCACAAGATATTGAAAAGAATCTGTTGTATGTGTTCTGAAAATGCTTTGTTTGGTTTACGCCTTTCATATCCCCCAAAGTGATCATGTTGGTCTCTGATCCAGCCAGTTTCATATCCCATCCATCCGGTTCATGTGCACATTCCATAACCAGACACCCATACCCGAAACCATTTCCTTTTACACCTCTTTTACACCTTAATCCAAAAAAACAAAAAAAAACAATAATAACAAAAAGCAGTAGCTAAAACCTCCCAGATGCATGCCCATATCCATGTCCATATCCATATCCATATCCATATCCAACCCAAAACCTATTCACATCGATGCTTATTCCATCTATCTAAACTAACAAATCCCCAACCCCAACCTCTCCACCGCATACCCCGGCCTACCTCCAACAGTAGGCGTGTTCATGTCCGAGCTATCCAAATCCATATCCATATCCGTATCCATATCTGACGAGTGACACGGCTGATCACCACTACTTCCCCCAACACCACGCCCATTGTTAAATTGAAAGTTATTTCCGTTAACTTTCAAATAATCCTCGTAGGCACCAAAGCTGCTGCTGCTGCTCTTAGCATTGTCCTCCCCACCACCATATGACGACTCATTGTCACCAGCAGAGTAAACGCTACTGGCATCCGACATCTCCACGTCCCCGTTGTACATTTCGGACGAGCTGTCGAAGACGAACGAGTCTTGGGACAGGATGCTGCTGGTCATGCTGGTGACGGATTCCATGGATGGGGTGTTGGGGACTACTATGTGTTGTTGTTGTTGTTGTTGTTGTTGTTGTTGTTGCCCATGTGGAGGGAGGGTGGGTTCGGGGGTGAGCGTGGCGCGCTCCGCCCGTTGTTGTAGCTGGTGTTGCAGCTGGTGTTGCTGGGGTGGTGATTGTGTTTGCTTCTGCTGTTGCTGCTGTGGTTGTTGCTGTTGTTGCACCAAGCTGGAGGGCAGTGCTGGAGCAACAGTAGCCACGGGCGTAGGCGCAGACACCGACGGCGCAATAGGCAAAGACATGGAAGGCAAGCTCAAAGCAGGCCTCAGCCTCCTACTAGTCGGCGGCCCCGGCACCGGCACAGGCAACTTGGGTATTTGCAATTGTAATGCCACAGTCGCCGCCACCGCCGCAGCCGCAGCTTTGTTCCCAGCAACACCAACGGCCGCAACAACAGTTTGCTGCCCCTGTCCCTGCCTCTGTCCAGAAGACAAACCCTGCGCCTGCGTTTGCGCCCTCGTCCTCGCCCTGCCCTTGGGCGGCATCGGCATCGCCAACACCGGCACGCCCACCACAGCCTCCACCCTTCTTTCGGCCACGGCATTCGACAGTTCCGGTCCCGCCGCCGTCCAGGGCACCACCGGGCTCCCGCACTCCTCGAGCTCCGCATCCTCGGCGTCCTTCCCGATCGTCCACACCCACCTCCGCTTCTTCTCCCTCTTTTTTCCCCGGGACCCAAGCCACGCTGCTTGCGTATCCCCCCGCTCGTCGGCGAAAGCGAGATAGGCGTCGACGCGTGCATACCCGCCATGCGTCTGCGCATCTCCTCATAAGGCCCTGGGGTCTGGCCCCCGTCGCGGGTTTCGTTGCCGGTGTAGGCCATGGTTTGGTCTAGAAATTCCTCGCCTTCTGACGAGGAGCCGGAGCAGGATGATCCCTCAGATGATGATGAGATGGACTTGGCTCCCGTGGGCGTGGTGGGCGTCCCGGAGTCTTCCGCTAGCAGATCCACGTGTGACTTGGTGTACTTGCTCGTGGTGATGGTCTCGCACAAAGGGCTGTTGTAGGCCACCCGCCGAGCGGCCTTTTCCTGGAGCCGGAGCGACTGCCGCCTGGAAGAGTTGGGGGATTGGCAGGTCAAGGGCGCGAGAGGGCTGTTGCGGAGGATGCTGCGGAGGGAACGCGGGTGGGTGTAAGGGAGCTTGGTGACGTTGGATGGAAAAGTGGTTCGCCTCTTGGGCGTTTCTGAACAAGAAGAAGAAGGCATCTCTGATGCTTGTGATGTGGTGGTAGTGGTAGTATTGAGGGTAAGTGACGGTTGCTGCGCCATGTTGTTGTTATTGTTGTTGTGGTTGTTGCTAGACTCAAAGGTAAACACGCGAGGGCCATTCTGCTCTTGCGGCTGGGCGGATAGTGGTGGTGTCGCTGTCATGGCACTGGGAAACATCATTTGGCTTTGTGCTGTTGCAATGGCAGGTGACATTGGTTGTGCCGTGAGAGGAGTGTCGAGATATGGACCCAAATAAGGAGTTTGTAGTCGGCGGTCCTTAGATACAACTGCTGCTCCGCCATCTTGTCCAGCCTGGGTTTGGAGGCGCAGCATCGGTCTTCCCCCTGATGATGATGATAGCGCTGTTGCCGGGGCATGCTCCTGGATTGGGGTCGACCTATCCACAGCGGTGGCGTAAACATTGGACAGTGTGTTGAAGGCTGTTGGAGACTTGACGTCCACTGCGGCGGCCAGCGTCCTGGATGTCCTGACACTCGAACCATTGAAGGTCTTGATCTGAAGGGAAAGCCTTGGCCTCTTGGGCGGGCTGCTGGGCTGGGATTGATGAGTCGACATTTCCAGAATGTCGGGTTGGTTCTCACTCGGTTCGTTCCAGATCCCGTGCTTGCTTGCTTGCTTGCTTGCTTTCTCTTTCTGTGATAATCAAACACACAAAAGTCTTTGAAGAGAGAAGCAAAACAAATTCCAAACAGAGTCGTCAAAGCCCACCAACTAGGACAGACTGGAGACCCTCTTTTCGGAATCTAGAACCAAAAGAAGCGAGAAACAACAACAGAGAAGAATGAAAAGAAAAACGTGCGTTGGGGAGGGGGGATGCCGAGGGGGGGGACACGGGCGGCTATATAGAACGGTAGTAGTATATTAAATGGTGTAATATGATGGGCCCAACGAGCAGCAGATCCTTCAGGTGTGTGCCGGATAGTATCACTATGTAGCACGGATGCGAGCTGGCGGCGGCGGCGGCAAGTAGTGTGGGCGGGAGGGCTGGCGGATCAGGGAGGGCAACTATTGACGGACAGGAAACCAGTCGTTGCCAGTTGGTAGTGTAGTGGTGAGGAAAGAAAAAAAGGGGAAGCGTGGATGGAAGCGCCATGAGCCATGCTGCTCCCATGCTCTGGAGTCACTCAGAACAACCGACGGAGGACACACTCCTCGAACCCCAGTCGCCCGCGCGGTCCGTCATCCATCCATGTCCCCATCATCGAGGCCATCCTATCCACATGCAGCTCCAGGAGATGGTTGAACGAACTTGAAATCGCACAGTAACCGACATGGACCAACCGGTTCATTCCTCTTCATGTGTATCGATCTAGTCCTGCGGTAGGACAGGGACTACAAAACCCTCTCGCCCCCTCCTCAGTACTTGCACCTGGGCGTAAAATCCCTTCCATTTCCAAATGTTTGGTAGTGTAGGTGACGACGACAGGGTAGAGTGAAAAAAGGGAACGCAAAGGATGGTGACACCACTCTGAACGGAGACAAAGCTCTGCGGTTGGTTGGTTAGGTTTTGGTTTCCCTCTTCTCACCACGCCGTCCACTACAGTCCACATGCTCCCCTGTCGATGTCTGTCGGTCCTGTATGGTGCAGGCGCAAGCGCCCACACTGACCAATTACAGTCGTTAGATTCGGGATGCAGATGCTATGCGGGCACACAAGTCACATCGCGTCTAAATTCTTATTTTATACATAGAAACAAGACTTAGCCCAACTCGGTAGGTGGGTATTTTCCTGGTTTATCGATTGGATCTTTGAACTGATAGGCGCCGCAGCTGAGTCCGTCCCTCACTCACTCCCTCCAGTTCTCGCCGCCACCGCCAAACAGCTTCAGAGAAAAACAAATGCAGTGCGAATGTGCTCTCCCACATGTTTCCCGCTGACACTGACAACTGTGTGTGATCTGTGGATGAGGATGATCGTCTTTTACTACCCAATTCATGTCCTCACGAGGCGACTTTATAAACGCCCATCTCCTTTTTGAAACTGTCGCATCGATTTTCCCTTTCCCCAGCACTGTAGAGTGTACATCCCCACATATTGTCGGTCTAAGGGTCTGAAGTCGACCGAGTCTTTTCCTTGTTGCTTTTTTTTCCGAGGTAAAAAAGGATCAGATGGTCAGTCATGAGGGCATCATCATGTTGATTCGCAATCAGTTATCGGTTAGATAACCCGTGCTTTAAAAATACCTACGTGAGCAGCGTATTCTTACGCTAGCCCGGCCATCCCCGCCAAAAGAAGAAGAAGTGGAAGTTTCCAAATTTGGCATCACAGAGGAGACCAAGGACAAGAAACAAAACGTGCTGTCCAGGCCTTGTGTTTTATCTTGGTTTGTCTCGCAGCCTGGGCACGGACATGGCAGGGGGGCGAGACCCTTTCGAGCTCACAACTTTCGGAGAGACAGCCGAGCCGAGAGACAACCACACCACCACCACCACCGCCAACATACATTGACCGACAGTACTGACAATGAACCCTTCCATCGGTTGGGGCTGAGTTATCAGCAGG